TTCTCCTGGATGTTATATCCGTTGTTGTTGGCAAATGCATCATTGGTTAAAAATATAAATTAAAAAATTAAGGTTATAAAATTGCAATAAACTATTCATCAAATTACTACTCTGACAGCTTTCTCTGATAACTCTTACTTTGTAACATCATAATTTTAATATAACATTTTCCACAATGATAAAAACTCAAGACCATTTAGGAGTTTTTCCCTCTTCAGATTGATGTTTTTAAACAGAGTGTTCATAAATTTGGTAGTAATAACAAGTTTATTTTAAAAAATCCTTCTGTATAACCCTTTCTAGCACGAAACAGTAAGAAAAGAAAAATTCCTTTATTTGAAATCATGAAAGTTTCCGTTTACACAGTGATTTGTGTAAACCCTATAAAAATCCTCTCAAACTATTAGAATATGATTACCTTAAAAATATATGTCAGTATGCACGATTTCTGAGTTCTTATTCTAGGAAAAGAGACCGCACAGAAAGGATGGAACAATGGTATGGAAACTTACCATCCTCTCCAATTGGACTCTTTATTGCAGACTTATTGCTTCCATGTGTTAAAAAAAAAAAAAATTCAAACCTTTAAGCCAACCCCAATCCCTAAAATTTTTGGCGCCCATATTAAGCATTGAATCCAGAAGAAAAAAAATTATCACAAGCCTATCAGAGTCAAGATTTATTTCATCATGATGGGAATGTGTTAGAAATTAATAATAAAGGTTGGTTTCTACAAGGCTAAAGAAATTATACTATTTAAAGCTACTCAAATACCATGAATTACTTGGCCTTAATATTTAAATAAATAATGCCTATTTTGAACATTGCATTCTAGAGCATATAATATAATTAGAGGAATATTAAAGTGGATAAGGTTAACACATTTCTTTTTGCAAAGGAATGATTTTTTTTTTTAACCTGAGGTTACATGAAGCTGAGGAATACAAACATCACACATAATTAATTTATATAATTCTCTGAAACAATGAAATCTTTGCTCAAACTACACTGTGAGGTCAATGAACCACCTAAACTGTTGTCTTTGTGCTTTTCTACAAATCAGGGTGCACAATGGAATGCATACCTCCCTAAAAGTAGCACATCTCCAAGTTTCAGTATGTGTCAAATGAAAGAAGGAAAAAGTTCCCTCACCCTCAAAGTGAGAACAGATGGGAATGTAAAATTAGATGGGAAGAGACAGGGAAGCTTTGGATGATGGACCAAGAAATCTTCCCCAGCGGGGAAGCCAAATACACCAGACCTCAGTTTGTTCTGCCTCTTAGTTAACATCCAAATTAAATCCAATAGGAATGCAAAGCAGTTCTTAGATTCGATGCATTGGTTTTGATTTCCGTAAGCGTTCATATAAATTTCACGAAGAAGCTATTGACAAACATGTTCTAAAAATGTTATGTCTAGTCACTTCTGTGAGTTTAACATTACTTCATACTAAGGCTGTTAACAATGAATACTTTTTTAATAAAATAAAATTTTCTTTATGAAAAAGAGGCAACAGGCACGAACAAACTTAAGATGTGGACAATGAATTCCTTGTATGATGGAAGAGCATCTGCCGTAAATTGAAAAGTTATGTAAATAAAGTATGAATACATTTCATATTCATTCTTTTCATATTTTATCTGTAGAACAACAACAAAAAACCTTTAATAGTAATGCCAGCAATATACTTCCTATACCTAGCAGAAAAAAATGTTCTGTTGATATTCAATTTTATATAGTATGATCTAATTTTTCTATCTAAAAATACCAACCATACACTTAAAAGAGTATTCTAAAGTGCTGTACTGCCTTCAATATTTTTTTTATTTTTAATATGGGTAATAATTCAAAATTTAAGGGAAACAAAATGGTGCTCTCAGATTTGAACATATTTAAAAACAGTAGTTTTATTGTTAATCCTCATTCTCTGAAAACACTATAATATTAAGAGCAATTTTGTATAAGATTAACCATGACCTTTTGAAGTACCGGAGATCTTCCACAAACTAGTGCTTGTGGAGCAGATGTGTGTGTGTATATGTGTGTGTGTGTGTGTGTGTGTGTGTGTGCTCACTTTTACATAAAATTTACATTCGTTGATAAAACAATGAGAATAACTCAGTATTTTAATCAATAGTGCTCAAAATTTATAGATCATTCTCATCCATAGTTTCAGACTTGTTTTCCAAGACAACAATGAAAAGTTCTCTGTGTACCTTTTCCCTGCTGTCCCAGAAAATTGGCTTTCAATATCTTAACCCTGCTTTGTCTTTTTTTTAACCTTACATTGTAGTTTATACGACAAAAAGAAATATGGAAATATGAATCATTCCAAGTGGTGAAAGTAAGTGCATGTCACACTTAAGTAATTTCAGTTTAAATCATCCAAGGCCCTGGTAACAGGATGTAGGTTTCACTTGTAACAGGGAACGAGGCCTCCCATAAAAAAAGATGCTCAATATAGTACACTGCATTTAGCTGCATATGTGCGTGAAACAATTACGGAAAAGTAGATTTTATCATTCAGACATGCAAATTATATGCAAATTATATGCAAATCTCATTACCAACAACAACAAAACCTCTTAAGGTGTCTTTATTCCCCCTCTCTTATCAATACATAAAAGCCACAATCGGCAAACATTTGGGGATACTATGTTGATATATTTTATTAAAATTCATTTTCCATACTTTCCATTTGTGCAAGTAAAATGTGAATAAGCAAAAACACCTGTATTTTCAAATTCATCCTCATACTAATAAATCTAAATACTAATTCCCCAAAACATCAAATGCAGACCCCTCTACATCATTGCCTTAATTCATTTTGTGGTTGGTTGGTTGAATGATTTTAACATGGAAAACAGAACATTTTATAATAAATTTAAAACTTCTATCTTCCTCCTGGGATTCGGGGAAACCTTGAATAAACAGTGCATATGCACACACTCAACATTTGCTCCAGACTCCTGTCCTAGCTCCAGACCTTCCACTCTCTTTTTAAACTGGGTAAGTGAAATGCACTCTGGATGACAAACACGAGTGTGTGAAAGGGACAGGGTCAGATGAGGTCATGATTTCTCAGACTGTAGACTGCAGACACCTATGGGCATATTCTTGGGAGTCTGAGAGGGTTACAAGGTGTCTTGTTGTCTTCATGTTATGATACAAATATAATTATATTTTGGATAATCTCATTCACAACTTTTACCACCAATTATTATCAAGTAATTTCAGGATCTGGTCTTAACACAGCGGTTATGATCTTGTTCGTGTTAGCTTTTTGCAATGACTTTGTTTAACTCGTGATATGATGGTCCTCAAACTGAAATTCACACATATATTCTTGAGACCTGACATTTTTCTGGGAACACAAGTCCACACGTTATTCAAGACCGACAGACACTAAATTAGGTGATCTTTCTAATTCCTTTCCAGTCTGAAAAATATGTTACACTTACTGCAGCTTACTAATAATTTATGGAGATCAAGCTTAAGCACACTTAGAGAAATTGAACTTCACAAGAGGAGTTATAATTTCTAATTCTGTGTTGTACTTGTTTTCTTTTTATATTTAAAAATGAAATTTTTGAGATAACACTATGGAATTCAGTGAGCAAAATGAATAAGGCTATGAGATCAAGATTCTATTAGCAAGTCACAAGCATTTCAAATGATTTACTGGACTACATATTGACTAGGAGTCTGAAAATTCCAGTTTCTTTTTCCAGTTTTGCCTCTGACTTGAAATAGCATATTGGTATTAGGGTGATTTGTTCTTGCACCCCCATTTTTTTTACAAAGTTAGTACATTATGTTACTCAATGAATAAAATGTACAATACCAGGCACTCATGTTATATAATGATAAGCAACAGTGTGCCTCAAATTTTAATTTATATAATAAATAAAAAAACAAATCTGCAAACTCAAATATTTGCTTTCCTTAATTCCGTTAGTGACAATATATAACATATAAAAATAGCAGTATAATTTTTTACTATAAATTACAGATTATGTCAATCTAGTTTTATAAACATTCATTTAAATTTGCTTCATTTAATTTTAAAGTGCTTACAATGTCGGCAATTTGCACTTAAAGATAATTTATTGGTAGAAATCATTGTTTACTGGTTAAAAGCTTAACCTATAACAACTTATCATTATTCATATATCATAACTTTATATCAAAATTTTAAACCACATACACTTAAAGGAATTCTCAACTTACATGTATCTTAACAACAGAATCATCTGAACACCAGTAAAGAGAAGTAAAATGTTTGCAAACTGTAAAGATATTCTGAATTTTAAAAGCATATACTTTATATTTAAAATCATTATTCAATTTTTAATTTAAAAAACTCGGAAAAATGAAACTTATTTAAATCATCTTAATTTCCTATCTGTGAGATAAATGCAAACAAATATTTTAAAGAAAACTCCTCCATAAAGCAGTATATGGGAAAATTTGCTGCAGTTTAACTGAATTTTTTTTAAAAAAGAAGGCTTTAAACCATTTCTAAAGCGTGGCTAATAGCATAACATAATATGATTATTAATTAAACTAATTAAATTAATTATTGATTTTTGAAATTATTTATTGAATTTATATTATTACCTTTTGATAGATTCATCTTTTTTAAGGTGAATGCTGTGAAAATCAACATATTGCATAAAAAGCTTAAGTTTTATCAAAAGAGAAATACCACATTCGGATTTAAAAGTTTTCATTTCCTGTTATCCTAGCAGACAGAACTTACATTTGTTTTGTAAACTCACTTCAAACTTTCTTCTTCCTATAAAAATTTCAGTTTTTATTACTTCAAGATTTCTTTTCCAGAAGATGTAATTAGACCACTAACTAACTAAAGGACAGTGGAGTCAAATGGAAAACATGCATTTCCAAAAAGTGCATATATCGTGATAAGTAACTTTTTTCTTGGAATTGGCAAATACCATCGCACGAATGTTAAAATCAGTGCCAAGAAGTGACTCTACCTGAACCGTAGAGCTGATCTCCGACGCAAAGCCGCCTGTCAAGGGAGCCTCGTGACTGATTAGCAGTCGCCCTGTTTTGATCACAGACTGGAAAAGAAAGGGGAAATCTGATGTTGAAGAGAATACATGTTTTCAAGTATACGATGGCAGTTTTGATTAAGGAATAAAAACAACTGATTTCAGTCCAGTAAATAATTTAAAATTAATAATACAATTTTATGCCAAGGAAGTTAAAACTCTCTCACACTGGACAGTCATTTGGTACTTGCATTGTTACAAAATTTTTCAATATAGTTTCTAATCCTACTACCAAAGAAAAATGAGATTTGTAATCTTGTCATCAAAAATGCATTCCATTATAAAATACTTTTGTGTTACAAACATAATTACTGTATTTCACACTGTCATCTCAAAATCATTTTTTCTTCATATTGCTTTAGGAATCAAAGTGATTTTTTTTGGTTCATTTTGGGGTGTATTTGCAATATAAATAAATAGCCTTTGAAAATATTATTTTGTGGAAAAGGAAAACACAAAAATAGCATGTAAAAGCTGCACTGCAGGAAAAACTCAAGCTCCTAGATATTTAAGGAAACTGAGCAGGAAGAAATCCCTGCAGAAGTAAAAGCGTTATAACCATTTCTGTCCCTGTGCATTAAAACCTGGTTAATGACCACAACTCTATTTTAACATAGGAAATGTCACAAACAATAAAGATATATTCTCAATACCGGCTCACTGTGGTTGCTCACACAGCATGATATACTCTGTACAATAATAAATCAAAAAGAATAGCTATGATATCATAGCAGGATGCCAGCTGTGTTGGAAGGTAAAAAATATTAAAATCAACAGCAAGTTACTGCTTAAAATACGTTGAATAATTACATGTTACCAAAGGGGTAATTTTCCTCTACACGTCTAATAATTTGATAACAACTTTCTTAAATTCTACATCAATATTTTGCGAATATGAAATAAGATCTTCCAAGCAAAAATATGTACATAAACTAAAAGATTTCCTTCATTCTAAGCAATTAGAGTTTAAAGTCTTAAAAGTATGCAACCATTTCAGTCAGCAGATGTTAAACCCTAAGATATGGCCAGTAGCCATGATAAAAATAAGTTATTGTATATACTGAGTAAATAGTGACTTAAGAACATAAAATTTTATGGACACCTTAATGAATACCATCCCCACCCCCAGTGAAATGCTAACCTTGGGATACTGCTACTTGGATTTTATGACCGTGATTAATTATGCCATTTACGAAAGTCACAAATTTCAACGCACCTGGTTAGGAATATACAGAGACAAAAACAGTCCACAATCATGAAAAAACAAATGTGTTCTCAAAGTACTCTTTAAAAGGAGTGCTGATCTACCAATGAGAAGAAGCAGATTTGACAATTAAACCTTTCTTATTGCTCTGAAACTCCGAAATCTGCCAATGCCTAAGTGTCCAGAGATGACCTCGTTAAAATCCATCCCAGCTAGAGGATGCATCTCAAATCTCCAAGAGGTAGAAATGAGACACTTCTATAAAAATGCTACTGTTACCTTAGACCTCCACACAACAGATTTGGTGTTTTTTATTTGAGCTGAGTCCCATGCAAGATCAATGACAGCCTTCAGAATGATCCCTGGAGGCTGATAACCAACCAGGGCAGACAGCGTGGCTTCCTAAAGCCTGCAGAATGTAGTGGGAAACTAAGCACAGATGTAGCCAGAACAAAAATCTCCAAGTCCAGAGACCATCTGAGTGTCCTTCAGCAGGAGAAAGTCTAGATAAACCAAGCTATAGCAATATAGTTGGGTATTATACAGTCATGAAAAAGACTGAGGACATGGAAAGAGGCCTATGGTAAATTAATTGGTAAAATCAGCAAACTGCAGAGCAATATAATTTCATTTTTACAAAAGACAAAAAAACAAATAAACAAAAAAACCCAATTACCACAGCAGTGGGACACCAATAAAACTAGCTGTATGTACTGAGTCAACTTGTGTAAACAGTCTAGAGGGATTCATTCTGAACTACCAAAACTTGTTCCTCCTAAAGAGTGACAGTGAAGGAATTGTTGGGAAAAGGCTTTTGTATTTCACTTTATGTAAAAAGTATTTTTATATTATTGAAAGTATTCTCAATAAGTCATAAATAAAGGTAAAGCCCTTGAATTAATGGTGAAGGCAACAAGTACTTGCTATGTTATAGTCATAATCTCCTCAAAAAATGTAACAATGTGTTTTGGGGTTTTTTTTAATGGCACTTTGGAGTAGCTTCACATACAAGGAAACCCTAAGGTCCCAAACTCCAGCAGCAAATAGGCACACTAAAAACACAGGGATTCAGCCTTCCCTTGTCAGTCTCTGTGTGATATGCTCCATGTCAGGATTATATCCAGCTCACCTCCTGACCCTCAAACTGTTGGATCCTAGACAGCACGGTAAATCAGCTATTAGTATAGGAGGAAACAGAATTCTTCAGCACCTCCGTATGTGTGTTATGTACATGCATGTTCTTAGATCAGGAGTTATGCTGACAGTTACAGAAGAAATTCTAGAAATTTCTAAAACACCAAGAGCTAAAGGGTAGACACAACAAAAAGTAATAACACTGTGAGTTTATGGAAATTATTATGGTATACAAACCAGAGGGAGACAGTGTGGCAGGAAGAGAAGACAGAAGTATGGTAATCATAAACAACTGGTTGTCCTGCAAGTTGCTATGTGCTAGGCTGTGAGCTGACCATTTTAGATTGATTACTTAATTTAATTTGGAAAGCACCTAAGTTTCATTTTTGCTTCCTAAAATCAACTCTGACATCTGAAAAGTATTAAAATATGTAAAATAAAATTACATCAAATTTCTGAAAACTGCCAAAATTTAGAAGTCACATTGATATTGTCAAAGTCTTATCATCAAAGAATTAGCATATATTATTAAAGATTAGTCTATAAATGCATTTCAATAATTTTGTAAGATATAAATAAATTCAGCTTGGTATGTTCTTTTTTATCATTTGCAGTTTTAATTTACTAGGATTTATGATGATTGGTTTTTTCTATACTTTTGGAAATTATTAACACTTTGCTAATACTCTGATGAGATCATTACAAATCTAGAAAATTGGACAGTGTTACGCTATTCTTTGTGATTCAATTAGATATTCTGATTAAATTGCATATTTTTTGTCAACTTTAACAGGCATTTAATTTTCATACATTTAAGCACAATGGTACACAACTGCCAAGTCATACTGCTAGCCAAATTTAGTATTTTGATATATTTAGTAAACACTAATATGGTGCCTTTCAACAGGGACAGCTGTTAACCTTTTTAAAATAACCATAAATATAAATACTAATAATACTTTAAAATTCATTTTCTTTAGAAGAAATGTTTAAAGTTTCAAGTTTTCTTCTGAGATAAACCTATTTCACCACTTGAAAAAAATTTAAGAGAGTTTAAACAACTTTTCAATATGAAAAGCTAAACCTATCAGAGCCAGGAAAGATCACGTAAGGCTGGATTTTCCAGTATCTGCTTCTTCAACTTTCTGCCACTAAGACCTGCTCCAGGATTCTGGCCTCAGGCAGATGGAGCACCAGTGAGTTAGAGGCAACAAATGGCACCAGGGAAAGCTAAGCCAATTAAAGACCAGGGCTGTGAATAACTGTTCTCCGTATCCCCTACCTCTCAACAAAAGGGCTTTGTTCCCTATGGCTCCAGAAGATTTGTCAAGAAAACTTTAAAAGCAATTCTGAAAGGCTAGGAGGAGTAAAATAGCCTGTGGCTGCTAAGTCTGTTAGTACTGGTTGGCCCTGGATTTCTCTCATGGAGTCTCACTTTCTCACTATTTCAGTTAGCCATCCTCTCCCCCAGGGCACCAGCAGCAGCGTATCATAAGAGGAGTTATCAGAATTTCAATACCGAACACTCAGCAAGGTTGCCTACAGCAGACAGATCAAGACACCTCTGTTCTGATGGAACCCTGGCGATGCCTTGTTCCTGGTCTGACTGTTCCATGATGTGTTCCTGTTGTACTTCTTCTACCCGGACGTCATTACAAATGGCTATCACTTCAAGTTCTCTACGCAGGATACCTAGTACGATGCTCAGAATATGGCAGATGCTTCAGAAAAGTTAATTAGATAAAAACCTATTATAAAATAATTTCATTATATTAAGTATGTCCTCCGGTGATTTACTGAAGCTATTGCTTTCTTAGCTAGCTCCATTTTTAAGATAGGCAAAAGTTATACTTCAGCACATCCCACAATTTAACTATGAAATAGTAGACTCCAAACTGAGGATATTTTAATGTAGAAATGACAATAAGATATCTGTGGTAATAGCAGGATTGCTAAGTTATACTCTGTTAAAATGACTGCACAGATTTTGGCTGCCCAAACATTGGACATATGTTTTAGTGAATGTAGCCTTTAAAGATTTTAACACAATCCAACCAGGAAAACTGTTAAGCTGTCATTCCAGGAGAAAATGATACAGACAAGTGAAGCATTAAGCTTGCATACGCCTGAATGTGTAACACTGATATTCAAAAAGCAAAATATATATATATTTCTTTCTCAAACTCCATAGCAAGACTTTCTCCTACAGAGCATTTCAACCCACCCAACACAAAGTTCAGTAGCCTATTCTGACTGCTCATAAGATAAAGTAAGAAAGTAATACTTTGGGTAGGTAATTTACAGCCCTTTTATACATTGTTTTTATCTGACTATAAAGCTAATGAAAAGCAAAAGAAACACCATAGCGGGCCCTTACCATTTCCTTTTGAAATCAAATGTTTATAAATACATATAAGCAGAAGTAATAGTACAATCACACACCTGTGTTTCATTAATCAAGAATGTATTCATCAGTATTTAAATAATCCAGAATCATTAAGAACATGATTTAAATTAGCTTCAAATATCATTGCGAATGAATTTTTTTAATGTTTTCTTGTTTAGTAGCCAAATGCATTTGAAATGTTAGCCAGAAAAAAAATCACAATTAATCACAGGCTAGCAAATGTGTAATATGCCCAATAACAATTATTAATCTGCATGATCTTCA